CCGCACCCCAAAGGCGGCATGGAGGCGTTGGGAGGGGCTATCATCCTCAGCCCCCGAACGCACATGCCCAGCCCTCTTACTCCTTGCTCGATCCGTTCTGCATGGGGCAGCCTGAAGAGGTGGCGTGGGGGTTCCTACAAAAAAGTGGCAACGAGTGGTCTGTTCCTCTTTTCTTAGAGCCTGGCATTTTACAGAATCAAGACCCTCACTCAAGCCCACCCAGGACTTGGGAGTTGGAGCTCTCCGCCCTGGAAGGATTTTGCCAGCCCCGCTTATTATGGGCGAGGGTCATTGGGTCCTCCGCAATCTCACTGGGGCTTCTGAACTCCTGCCCCCGTGGTGATATTAGATCAGGATGCACTGGACAGAGGCAGCCTCGAGTCCAGGAGATCCCAGCTCAGCTGGCCCGGAGGGTTCAAGAGTAATCAAGCCTGGGGTGTGAGGCCCTTCAGCTGCCTCTGCCAAGGGCTCCCCCTCTATGGACGCCCACTTTTCCCCCTTTCCTCCTCAAGTCGACCTTAGTGCAGGCCTTCGTGTGTGTTAAACGATTGAGATAATAAATTACATACTACAAAATTGACCTTTATTATTGTTTTTGAGACAAGGTCTCTGTAGTGCAAGCTGACTTTAAGCCCACTCACTATGTAGCCCAGGCTGGTCTCGAACTCACAGCGATCCTCCTGCTTCAGCCTCCCAATTGCTGGGATTACAGGCGTGCGCCAGCACCACACACACGGATTCACCCTTAATTTTAAAGTGCACAATGCAATGGTTTTGGTATATTCATAGAGTTGTGCAATTATCACCGTCAATTTTAGAACACTTTCATCACCTCCAGAAAAAACTCCAGCCAATTGCCTTACTCCCCATTACCCCACCCCACTCCACACTAGCAGCCCTAGTGGTCCATTTTCTGCCTCTGGATTTGCCTATTCCCAACACTTCAGATGAAAGGAATCACACAACTTGGCCTTTTGCATCTGGCTTCTCTCTGAGCATGGGAAGGTTCACCTATGCCTCATTTATATCATACACCATTCCTTTCTGTTTTATGGTGACACCAACTGTACACTTCCTCACCATGTGTTTATCTGGATCATCTGGGAATGTTGGTGGGTTTAGGTTTTGGTTTGTTTGGTTTGTTTTTTTGAGACAGGGTCTTGCTATGTAGCCCAGGCTGGCCTTGAACTCATCACAACCCTCCTGCCTCAGCTTCCCCTGTTTGTTTATTTTTGGGTTTTGTTTTGTTTTTTTTTTTT